AGCCCTACTCCTGCAAGAAAAAATAATGCCTCTCTGTTCCTCTAGAAATAATGACATCCATTAATAATGACTCATCACTACTAAACCCGGGGCAGCTAGCATTCTTTCTTAATAGAGGGATCTGCCGGATGATTAACAAGTACAATTTTGTTTTTTTGGACAAAAAGTTACCTTTCCTTTAGCTTGCCTATCCTATCCATCTCACTATTCCTAATAAGAAATCCAAAGGCCATTAAAATCTTACTGTCAGTGTTGTGTTCACTAGTCCATGACTGAAACACAATGCAAAAATTTTAAGTCTTGCTTCATGTTTGTGCACATAGGTGTTCCCTGCATTATGTGTATACGAGCAATTGGACACGCTCCCATAATCTGTTCTAACTTGTCTCTAGGTTTGGCTTGCTGGATTTTACTTGTTCACATTAAATCTGTCAGATATTAACAGCAAAGAAGTCTATTATTTGTAACAGATGCATTGTTACACACAGATCTACTCTATATATGACAGAGAACCAGTTAGAACTAGGTTGATTCTTTTGCTCTCCTTTAGTTTTGTTCAGATGAGTATTATAGGAAAATGAATTAAAACAGTGGTCTCAATGCATTTCTGGTGTAATTCCATTGAGTCCGTGGGATTGCACCACAGATGAATGTGGCTCTGTTTGAGAGTCAGATCTTCAAAACATAAGTTTAACCATCTCCATCTCCCACAATGATTATAGAAAGCACTTTAGGGTGCACTACTGATTAAATATCTCCTATAAGTGGTTGAGATGATCTGGCCCACAAAGGAGCTTAATCTATTGAAAGTGTAGTTGCGGTTTTGTGCTGTGTCTAATACTTTCAGGGCATCTCATGTCCCTATGAATAAATAAAATCAATCTTCTCCTAGAAAACAGGTGCCTAGTATCTAAAACTGATCACAGCTTCTAGACAGTGTCCTGGGTACACTTTTCTTTCAGTGAGCGTTCAGGTGTGAGTTCTCCTTTATTCTGAAAATGAATAATTGCTCTCTAGCTGCTTGAAGAAAGGCTTCCGCTTTAAGAAAAATTAAATCCTTATTTGGCAGCTTCATTCTGTTCTGTTTCTTGCTGCAAGCAAACTTTTATGTTGTCTGTTCAATTGCAGCATGACACACAGGGTGCTGATTTCAGCAAATGACTCTGACTCATTCCTCCTCATCTGCATTGACCAGACTAAGAGCAAGATAAACAGGGAGGGGTGTGTGCATGCATATATGTGTGTGGCAACAACAACAGAAAAATCACATGGGGGTTTACAAATTCTGTATCTCCTTTGCCACTGATCTTGCATGGCTTTGATCTTAATGGGAGAATGTGATCTGGATTCTTGGCACCTTCTTTTATCCTGTTATTTCAAAGGCAGCCTCTCTTTTCTTATCTCACTGCCTCAGTATCATTACATCCCTATTGAAATCAGCTTTCCCCCCCTTGTCCATCTCCCTAAAATACAGACTTTGTACTGCTTGTTCAGTTAGTCTGTGGTGGGTTTTTTTTATGCTTGGCACTCGGCTGTATTAATTTCTCTGGCTGTGTCATTCTTCGATTAGTTGAATTTGCATCACTTTTAATTCAGACACATGTCCTGAATCTTGCTGAGTATGCCAAAAATGAAGTGGAGCTTTACAGCAAGTGCAGCTTCTTTTAACAGAATGCCTAATAAAGAATTAAAATGAGGCTTGAAAACAGAAAAGTTTGTACAGACGTGTATGAATAGATGTTAGAAGTGATCATTAATGGACTTCCTCTGCAACAGAATATATAAAAATACTTTGACAACTGAGGACCTAATCATGGTACAGTGCCTTCTTTCTCTTCAATCACTGGCTAATTTGATTCATACTTTTGGAACCAAATAATTAGTATCTGTCCACAGTTCATTAAGGAGGTGCAAAGCCTCAGGGTTCTACCAGATCCATCAATAATCTTGGTAGCAGCAGTAGTGAGAAACAAATTCTTCTCCCTCTGGCTTGCTGGGAAATTATGCCTCTTCCTTCTGGCCATAGTGATCTGGTCTTTCATCAGTTCCATAGTGGACTAGTGCAACTCACCGTATCTGAAATTGAAAGTAGAGGCAACACCTACTTTAGGTTGTGCAGAATGAGGCAGACCTACCCCTTAGCAGGACTGGCCTCAGAGAATCTGGCACACAGGTGCTCCATGTCGGGGTCTATTTAAGATTCTGACAGGTGTGTGCTCAGATATGTCAGAGACCAGTTATGACCTGATGAGGCAGCTGCCAGCTGCAAATCTATGGGACCATGCAAGCAAGTGTCTAGGATGAAGGTCTTGAGAGCCAGACATAAAGGTGACTCGCATTCACTCTGAATCCGTTAACAGTGCTCTTGATTGTAGAAGCGGCTTTCCTGTCCTCTCAGACAGAAAGTCCTGAGGCCACAGCTGAGACAGTATGTACATTAAAGGAAACTGCAGTTGTCTGTGTACATCTGGACTGGCTTTTGGCGTTAAAGGTAGTAAAGGAAGAGTCCACAGCCCAGTACTGACGGTTTGGTGGAACAATAAATAAATGAATAAAACCACCTGTCCTAGCAATCTCCATGCAGATAGGTGTGGCCACTATTCCCAGTTTTACTAACATGGGTAAATAGGTCACTTAAGCAGCATCTCAAAATCAGATGACATCCTGTTGTGAAGCTTTAATAAAAGTGTCCTGTGCTTTGGAGGTAAAGGTTCTAAGCTGCTTTGCCTGTGCTTGATAATGAATGTGCATGGTTACTACTTTTATATACTGTAGTCAGCTCTAGTTTATTATACATTGGGGTGGAAGATGGGAAGTGGCGTGAGGCAATATAAAGAGTCTAATATTTGCCAATAAAATACATACACAACTCAGCTAATGTTTAGCCAAGATTCCAATTTTGACCTCTGTTCCATGAAAGGGAAGAAAACTGATTCTCATTTTCTCTCTCCCTCCCCCACTGAGGTCATTGGTGCATTATTAACTTGGGTATCTTTTTATGTCAGCAATTAAAGGGTTAGACTAGAATAAAACAAAGAAGCATCTGTCAAGATAACAATTGCAGTAACTGTTGTTTGAAATGAATTACTAGCTTTTTGAAGCTTAATGAGGCCATAATTGCGCACTGTACTGCATACTCATGACATCTTATAAAAAGATTTGACAAAATTAAACATGCAGCTTCTGGAGACAGGCAGCTGCTTTGGGAGAATGTAGCATACAGTAAGGTGTATAACAGAGGAGATGCTGAATTAAAATACTTACTATAACAGGGAGTAGTAGAACAAAACAAAGAAATTTTCTTAGCAACTTGAGAAAATATTATTTTTGTTGGTTTTAATTTCAGTAGCACATTTTCCAAGCAGAAAGCATGATCCCTGCCTTGCGGAGCTCATAATCTTGGTGTAATCTCCTTTTACTGACAATGTATAAAAACAAGAACCTTAATAGTTTTCCTCAATAGTCTGATTTACCTTCTTAGGAGTGGATGTTGAATACAGTATGTGAAACAAACAGAATTCAAAATACTGATGTATTTGCAAATCTCATTCATTACAGTCCATGCCATCTTTACAAACCATCCATCTTTGCTACCATCATACTGTATCAAGACGAACTAGCAAGCCTTTATCATGTTCTGTTAGCTATAGGGTTAAGAAGCTACATGAATCTTGTGGCACATAAATGTCCTAAAGAGACTAGAAAGAGTTCAGGGAAATCTGAATTTTCTTTTAATGACATATTATGGAAATAAAAAATCCAAGCAATTGCAAGACTTATGTTTTCTTCCTATTACTAGAGGAAAGAAAAAAAGTTGCCTAAGTTATACAACCCATATCAGAACACAAGTAGGTATTTTGGCCCTCAAGAGAGATGTGAAAAAAGAACTAAGAGAAAGGTTGAAACTGCATACAAATAAAACAATGGAGAGAAGAGAGGGAAAAAGTCCCATTAGGCTTCATTAAGGTATAAACAGGGATACTTATGGATTAGGGGGTCAGATCCTTCCCCCTGCATTAGGGCAGTTTCTTGTCACTCCACTGGTACAAAGCTGTCTTTAATGTGGGTTAGCTAACCTGTGGAGGACCTCTCCCATGCAGGGGGCTTTCTGAGTGAGTGGTGTAGTGCTTCTTTGACACTTTCCATCTGGCGCAGAGTATATGGTTGGGGGGAAGGGGTATGACGGGCATTCTGGTGATCCAGTGATCAATCTATTTTTGATAAATCTTTTACAGCCATCTCTTATGTAAACACAAATTCAATTATTTCTCTGTGCTGATTACTTTCAGATCTACCTGCCTACTCTGGACCTGTCTGTACAAATTAAAATCTTGGCCTGTCTTTCTGACAGATTTCTGAATACCCAGCCATCAGTTTAAGATCAACATGGGCAATATCACCATCCTCCCTGTCAGTTAGGCCTATAATCTGGACATCCCTGTCAATTTTTGACTTTTCTCTAGATCCTCACTCATACTGTGTCTGTGGGTAAGTCTACACCGCAGATGAAGGTGTTATCACAATGCTGATAGGCAGACCCACATTGGCTTTAATCTCACGGGTGCTGAAAATGGTGCTAGTGAGATCATAATTTTATGAGCATTGGTGTTGTCTAGCCACCCCAGCACTGCACATCAAGGACTCTGGGTAGTAATTGGGTTGTTTGTTCCTCCACCATTCACAGTACATTTCAAAGAGAGGTGAATACTGAGATATCCCATGTTTACAATTCATTTACATGATAGAATATTCTTTTGACCTCTGAATCATCAGAATACAGCATAGACAGGGACCGTTGACTACATTGTCCACCCTACTCATACATATGTAAGTACACAAAAACACAAACATTATCTCCCCACATGTCTTCTGTGGGTTATTCATTTTGCTGGATGTTTAACCCTTTCTAGCCATGTGTCACATAAGGAAACACTTGAAGGACACAGATATAACCTTCCAATAAAGTGATTGACACAGGCAATATGCTTTCCAAAACAAAGTATCTTTTTATTGATGTAACTAATAATCCCTACTACATTGTAATCTAAAAATAGAAATCAGACACAAATCCCTTATTACAAGTTACAACAGCATACAAGTTAAATGATTCTAAGTGATGTGCTCTATTGCAGATGGCCAGTGTGCAATAGATCACTGACAGCAGTTTTTAAATTATACTTTAAGTTTTACACAGGTAAAATACAATTAACACACACACACGCACATGCACATACTAATACTACACTATACTTATGCTAAACTAGAGTTAAAATTAGCAAGCTTACACTATGATAGCGCTGTGTTGTTTACTGTTGCTGGTTGCTGCTGCTACTGTTGCAGCTCACTCTCGGTCAGCTCCCTTCTTAATTATTATTGTTGCCGCTTGGACTCATGGTTTCTCCCGCTTTGCTACTGTTGCAGCTTTGTGTCTGTTCTCTCTTCTTCAGCAGCTGCTCTTCTAACTTCTTTCCAGCAGCTGTTCTTTCTCCTAATTGTCTAACTTCCTGCTGACTGTCTGCCTTTTATACTGTTCTAGCTGTCAGGTTTTTGTCTGCTGCTACCAGAAAAAGCAGCTCCAAATCAGCCCAGGATGGAGCTGCTTAACTGTTCCCTACTTGGCTTTCTGCCAACACCCTTTCACCTAATTTTGTACTGCATGTGCTCATTGTTGAGCATTATCTTATTTTACTTATGCTCACTGGTGTTTGTTTACTTCAGAGCCATGATTACCTCATCCAACCTTACTGCCCAAGCTTCAGATTTAATTTACTTTGTGACCATTCTTCATTTTACTTTCTATTCTACTGGGCATGCTTAATCCAGGAATCGCTCAGCTCTGGTCATGTGACCTACATTGTCCAATGATAAGTGACTTGCAGCTTACAGTTGGTGAAGTGACTCTTGTTTATTGAGGAGGGAAGCCAGAGACACAAAATGGAGGTTGGGAATACAACATGGAGTCCAGGGAATTTCTTCGCTATCATCTTGTTGCATTGTCCATGTCACCTCTCTCATTGTGTCCCTCCACTGGCTCTCCCTTCTGCATTGCATCAAACACAAACTCTTTTTCTTCACTTTCAAGGCCCTTTTCAGTCTAATCCTACCTGACATCTCTCATGCTATCACTGTGTCGACTCCCACATCTGACCTGCCAATGCTACCAGCCTTCTCTGATCTTTTGTTATACTTTCAAACAAGCACCACTGTGCTTTCTCCAATACTACTCTTCACATGTGGGAAGAGCTCACCTCATTATTCTCCTTCAAATTTGTCTTTAAAACTCTTAGTTGTGATGCCTACAAAAAACCTTGACAAGGTAGGTGAGGTAGTATCTTTTATTGGACCAACTTCTGTTGGTTAAAGAGACAAGTTTTCAAGTTACACAGAGCTCTTTTGATAACTGATAGGCAGCTGAGGTGCTGAGACCACTACCTGCCATGCTAACCAATATTATCTCATTGTTTACTTGTGCTCCTCCCATTGATTGTATCCCCCTATTGCCTCTTGTGTATTTTAGAGTGTAAGGTCTTGGGGAGGTGGACTGTCTTTTTGTTGTTGTACAGTGCTTAGCACAACTGGGCCTTGATCTGACTGGGGCTCTGAAGTTCCTACAGAATATAAATAACATTGTCAGCTTGTTCACATTACAGCACCATGAAGGGACCAAACCAGGCCGGACCAATCCAGGATTGATAGGGGATAAGGTGATCCATGGGCCATTTTTTCCCTCAAATTACTTTAAATTTTTTTCCCTGATGTTAGGCGAGAATAGAATTTGGCCAGTGCTTAATTTATAATGAAAGAGGTTCCAGGACTCAATCAATTTTTTTACTTTCATAACTGACTCAGCAAACCCACGGGGTGCCAGGTCTATGAACTGCCAAGATGCTGGGGGCTCAGCCCCAGCAAGCCCTGGCACAAATTAAGCACTGAATTTGGCCTCTTGTCGAAAAAGCTGCCTGCTAGTTTTTATTTCCTATAGTGTTTATCCACGACCAGCCAGGCCGTTTTATATAATCTTGTGTGTGGTAAAATAGGTTCAGTAAAATACCTAACCTAAGTAGCAAATGCTAGCTTTTATTTTGTAAGAATCCTCCTTGATGTCTGGGTGACTCATCAATTTTCCCATATTTTTTTAATCCAATGATTTGCATGCTGTAAGGCTGTTAGTTATTTCCATTTCAGATTTTAAATCCACCTTATACTTTTCAGATGGTTTTAGTGAAGTCATGGAGCATGGTTCTGATGTTTGAGTATAACATCAGAGACAAAACACTTGTTGCTTGCTGCCAGAGCCCGCTTGATTGCATGACAAGATCATAATGCATGGATTTTGTCTTATTCAAACACTCAACAATGCCAGCAAGGGGCATCAAGGGACAATCCTGTTTGAAGACAGTCTGATTAGGATCCAAAGAAAACTGATATATTTAAATAGCAGAAATTGAAGGTTTGATTTTTCCAGCAGAGACTGACGATAAGACTCTTGATAAGACAAAGGTTAGCTTGGCAATACTGTTATAATCTCACCTTTCTGTGCATGGCCTTACAAGAGATGGTAGTGCAGAATCTTAATGTTTATCTTTCATATTTGTTAGCAGCCAACTAAACCATGTCACGTACAGAGCTTGGTGCGACACCTGAGAATAAAAAGTGCACAGACACTGTTAATGGCATTTGGGGGTCCTTGGTTACATTTCACTGAATAACTATACATTTTCCCTTTAAGGATATTGAATAAGAAAATTAGCTACTCTAAAATGAGATAGGGTGTAGATATTTATTGCCACAGGTATCTGAAATTAGCATCCATTCCTTCTGTCATCACTAAAATTCTTAAATATGGGTTACATCAATAAATTAGAAATGGCCACAGTGATTTTTTCCAGGGATTATGATAAATATTTTACAGTTACCTGATATGGGAAAAACAGGAGAGATTGATGTTATATTTGGTCAGAAGGTAGAAAAGCTAATCAAGAACATACAGATTACAGTGAGATTAGACACATAATCTCTATAGTTTATGAGTTAAAGTAGGATTAAAATCCTGGCCGCCTTGTTATACATAGTCTTTCTTCTCTGATTTTTCTCTTAAAGCATGGTTGCTTGTAGGCAAAAAATTTGCAACGTAAAGCTAACATTGTTTCAGAAAGACACTTGCATTCTGATAGATTGCAAGGGCATATACACAAAAGAGAGAGATGCCTTTGTAAGAGTTAGATAATAACTATGCACTGAGAATAATTGTGGGGGCAGTCTAGCTAAAATGAACCTTGTACATCCAAGTTCAAGTGCGTTATAGATTAAAAAAAATGGTGTGGTTTCTCTGGAAGTGTAGAGGATACGTATAAACCAGCTTAATTGACTGGGTTTGTGTGCACACTATTGTAAAACACATCTTTTTGCAGAGTAAATCCTGCAGCATCACACACTTCAGATGAAATCCAGACTTCACTGTGGCCTAGTTTTCATCCCTGCTATTTCTGCGAATAGCAATGAATTGCTAGACTGTTTTAGAAAGATTCTATAAGTTTAGATGCTTTGCAAAATTAGACAGAGGTTCTACCTGTTGTCTATTTAACTATGACTGGGGCTGGAACTTAATGACATGCATGTGCCAGGAACATAAAATGTATGTCTAGAGAGCTCTCTGATCATAACTATGTGGAATATATTTAGTGCAATGTTTCTTTTAAAGAAGATAAAATGCAGCCATTCAAAGTGAGTGATAAAGCTTAGGAAGTACCTTGGTTTGCAGTGTGCTACTTCATGCCTCATGATGTGGTTTAAAGTTATGTGATACACATTTACTATTGTCTAGAGATGGAGGCAACGTACATGCAGCGTACATTCTGTTAACAGCAGCACATCTCTATAAATAACCTCTCAATAAGTATGTTTGACTTGAGGTAATTATGGGTATTTATTAATCATATGAGTGCTAATAGCACTACATAACTTCTCACAGTCTAAAGCTGTTTATATGTCACAGCAGTTTCTTACAGATGCCTTAGTGTCCTTTGTCCAACATGAACTAAATTTCAACTTCGAGTCTTGGTGCCTTATAGAAAATCTATTTACCTTGTAGGAATTCCCTGTTTAAAAAGGACCTTAGGAACTGGCATAGCTGTGACAGAAGACAAAGTTAATTCTCCTTAGTTCTTTTGAGTTCTGAGAGTTTGAAGGGTTTTTCTCCTGTATATGCTTCACTTATGAGACATACCTTATCCCTGTGGATATGGGCTCTGAGTCTCTTTGGATCCAGGTCTGTGAAATTTCAGTCCTGTTGCGGAGCTCACCACTCTTGCCATTTACAAATAGTCTTTCCTGTAATTAAATGTCCTTTGTTTAATGAAATGTCCATTGCGTGACATAGAAGCACTGCCAAATCTCTTTCTGGAGTGCAGTGTAAGCAGTTTTACTGACATTAATAACAAATTATTGCTTTTTGTGGGAACTTGATTTCTGAGCTTTACCTTTCTTCTTTCTTATACACTAGAAAAGGCTGAACTACATTAAATTTCCATGTTAAGTTTCACAAATGAGTGCCTCTAGCCAATGCTGTTTTACTCAGGTATGAAGCACACCTGGAAGTAACAGCACTTACAGGAAAAAAATATTTTCTAATAAAAAAACCCTACTTTTCTGATAAGCAGACCAGGGACCCTTTATACTTTCTTGATCCTTCACTACATGTTGTATCCTTTTTAGTTAGCTCCAGTTGGGTTAACCTGATGGCAGAAAGATTTTTAGGATTTCAGTACTATGACCAACTGCAGTGTAACATTTTAAACTCAGGTGAAGCAAATCTCACCTTGTGGTTCACCTGGAGAAGGCAGAGGGTCAAATACAGTGCTCAGGGCTGGATTAACCTTTTGTGGGCCTGGCGCCAAAGATATTTGTGGGCCCTCATGGGGGCAATGGAGCATGGCACAGGGAAGTCAGTTCCCGGAGTGAGGAGCAGGCCAGGGGCAATGGGGCATGGTATGGCAGGGGCGGCCCCGCCGCACCCAGCCCAGTGCAAGGGCACTGTTTACAAACTGGCAGTCGCCAGACACACAGTGGCCTATCCGACCCTGTGCTGCCAGTGTGCCCCTTCCCCTTGGGGGTGGAACTGTGACACACCACACAGCCCCCCTACCCAACATCCCCCTGATTCCCTATGCCCAGTGCTCCCCAGACCTGCCATACCCAGCACCCCCCACAGATCCTCCCCACAAATACAGCGCTCTGCACACCATCACACCTGCCCAGTGTCCCATGAAGATGCCCTGCTAGCGCCCCAACACACACACATCTCCCCCACTACCCAGTGCTCTTCCCCACATCCCCACCACTACAACTACAGCGAGCCCCACACAGACCCCCCACTGCTTAGCACCCTAACACACACAGATGTCCCCCACAACCCTGCACCCCCTCAACAGACCCCCATACTGCCTAGCACCCCAAAACAAACCTCCCCTACTAACCAGTGTCCCCCGCCCCTTCACAGCCCAGCATTCCCCCCCCACATAGCCCCCAAAGATCCACTCCTCCACGCCCTGCCCCCCAGCCACACTCACTGGACCTGCTGAGCCAGCACAGAGCAGGGATTCCCACTCCCAGCACTGTGCTAAAGGGACAGGACAGCTGGAGCTCAGGAGCACAGAGTGGCCACGGCTTCATCCCCCAGGACCCCACCCAGCCCTGCCCGCCTGGTGCTGGTGGTGCCTGTGGCAGAGAGGAGGCGTTTCCTTGCTGGGGTGGGGAGGAGCTGCTGACTTCCCTTGCCCGTCACTTCTGCACAGTGGCCCCCTGCCCCCAGGGAGCCTGAAGCAGACAGTCACTGGCCCAGAGGCTTGGAGCCGCAGTGGCTGAGGCCTCCTCTCCACCCTGCGACTGCCTGCCAGTGACGGGGGTGGAGAGGAGCTAGGGTTGCCAACTTTCTAATTGCACAAAACCGAACACCCTAGCCCCGCCCCTTCCCTGAGGCCCCGCCCCTGCTCACTACATTCCCCCTCTCTTGATGGCTTGCTCTCCCCCACCCTCACTCACTCTCACTGGGCTGGTGCGGAAGGGAGTGAGGGCTCTGGGGTGGGGCTGGGGTTGAGGGATTTGGGGTGCAGGAGGGGGCTCCAGGCTTGGGGGTGGGGCTGAGGGATTTGGAATGTGGGAGGGAGCTGTGTGTTGAGGCAGGAGGTTGGGGTGTGGGAAGCGGTGAGGTCTCTGGGCTGGGGGCGCAGGCTCTAGGGTGGGGCTGGGGATGAGGGGTTCAGATGTGGGAAGGGGCTCTGGGCTGGGGTAGGGGGTTGGGATGCAGGGGGGTGAGGGCTCTGGGATGGGGGTGCAGGTTCTGGAATGGGGCTGGGGATGAAGGGTCTGGGGAGCAGGAGGGGACTCTGGGTTGGGGGGGGTCAGGGCTGGGGCGGGGGATTGGGGCACAGGGTTGGGGCATGGGTTTACCTCTGGCGGCTCCCGTTCAGTAGCGCAGCGTGGGTGCTAAGGCAAGCTTTCTGCCTCTCCTGGCACCTCAGACAGTGCTGTGCCCTGGAAGGCCAGCAGGAGGTCCAGCTCCTAGGCAGTTGGGTTCAATAGATAAAGTGTTGAACTGGATTTGGAAGATAAATTCTGTTGTAAGAACAAATCCATCACCTAAGAGAACAATTTTAATGGACACCACTAAAAGAAACTTTCCTATAGCCCAATTACTTTCAAAGGGAGTTATCCACTAGTCTATCAGCAAGGTGTAGTAATAATTTACCAGGATGTAATTAACCAAGCTTCAGATGTCATAGTCAGTGAAACTTCACCAGCTTTATGCGGGATCTTAACACCTGCTAACTGAACTGGATGGGTCAGTCAATAAAATTCTGCCACCTTCTATCATGATTATTAACTCTGCCAGTAGAATGCTGTGGTTATAGTGTATTCTTTGAAAACATTTTTCTATCTTTTTGCATGCACAGCATACAAAATAACGGATTTGTCTTAATGTTCATGAAGGTTAAATAATGTATAGCTGTGGCTACCGCCAGACAGAGCAGATGGGGACATTGCAAACACTATCGGATGGCTTTGCATATGCACCTGCATTATTCTTCCTGTCCAGGCCTGGGCATGTCCTGGCCAAATTGGCAAATTTAGCGATAACATATTGTGTGATGTGAACAAATAACTAGGAAATGGGTGAGACCAGGAAACCAGTGGCGGTTACACTAGCCTTTTATTCTGGGAGAAAGAATATTAAATTTGGTATAGACATATGTGTCTAAGACAAATTTAAAATTCTTTCTCCCCGAATAAAAGGCTAGTGTAACCCCAACTGCAACATCTTTCCTTTCCTATCCATATCTGGGGATAACCAATTACTGTTTAGTAGAGCGTATGTTTTCTCATGGATCATAGGGTTAAGAGAAACTTTCATAAGATCAGTTATAATTATATTTACTGTAAACTTTTGTGCTTAGGATTTGAATGTTAAGCATGTATGTTGATTGTGCTGAGGAATACAATGGAGCCTTTGCCTATTCAGCAATGTCATTAATTGGAGTGGGAGGGAATGGCAATTTGACAGTTCTATGAAGAATGAAGCATAAATAATTTAAATATTAGACTGACCATTAATCAGTTCAAAAATGAATGCTCCTGAAATACAAAGGCACCAAAAATTCAGAAACTGCTCTGCAAAATTGGACTTTTAAGTCGTGCACAGAACTTAAAGACAAATCTGTATGGGTTTTTAATCTTTAATAAACTTTAAGTAACCACTGTTGCTCCAGGTTTTTCAAAAGTGACTAATGATTTTTGGGTGCTAAACCTGAGCTGCCTTAAAGGGGCAGACTTTCAGAAAGTGCCTCCTTCTGCAAATGAGACCATTTAAACTAATCTCAGGTTGGGCATCCAAAGTCACAGGGCACTTCAGAAAACCTTGGCCGTATTTTCTATCTTCTCTGCCATTGGCATGTACAAATCTATAATCTTTGGAAACTCCATCTAGCTTCCTTAATTCTTACTGGGTAACTGTTACTTATTTTTAGCTTTTCATTTTATTTGACTGCAAGGGCAGAAAGATACAGAGCAAACATATGATAGGAGTACATTAGTCCCTCAATACCTAGGGAATAAGTTTACTCTTGTGGGTCTTGGCTGCTATCCATCTGGTAGAGCTCTCCTTAAGAGGTTCCCTCCTGAGTTTTGATGTAGTCCTAAAATACTGTCCAATGATCCAGTGTCCTTTTCCTTTCCCTGGGAGTTGGCAGTCGGTTTCTCCAAACTTCAGCGTCTGAATTAGTGAATCTATTGGGATTGGCCCAATTCATCCTAGTGCAACTCCATTTGATTTTTGAAATTGCAGTCAATGGAGTTGCAGTGGGCATGAATTTGGGCCATTATCTCAGAACAGAGCAGTTCTGTCTCTGTCAGCGTTGTAAGTGGTGAATTCTCTTTTTATATTTAAATGAACTCTCTGTTCTGTGCATTAGCACAGCAGTAAAACCTTTGTTTTACCTTCAGTTATCACTGTACTGATCTTTACAACGTGGTCCCCAAATCTGGAATTGCAATGGCAGTGTAACTGCATACCTATGTGCTCTCCTGCGCACACAGCCAGCACTCTGCTGGTTAGTCTGTCTTCCTGGAAGCCCTCTGCTCCAGCACAAGGGATTAGCAGCTCCCTCCTCCTATGTGCAGAATAAAAACCTGAGCATGCTTAGGACAGTTTCTCTTCATCCCTGCAGGCACCTCTCAGCTAGGGTTCATTGCTGGTGGTTGACATAACCAGCCCATTACGCCTGGATATTTGGGATGGACAGTGGTTACTGTCAGTTCAAGAAACTTACAGTTGTAAGCCTGATGTAAAGAAAATGTGCGTATGCTTCAGTTTTAATGAGTTGTCAGGGAAAAAGTGTCTGAATTAATCTCAGACCTACAGGTCCGTGCACTCCTTGGCACAGGATATTTCAAAAAAAAAAAAAAAATCCATTCCCAGAAATCCAGGTGGGGCAACACTGCCACCAAATACTTATTCTTCTGGAAGAAGAATAACTTGAATTACTATACGTTTCAGTGCTTGTCAGCTGTAATATCAGGGTACATCCCTGTGAGTGGGTCAGCAGAACTTTATATAATAACAAAGTTATATAGTAAAAGCTAGACAATGTCGGCAGATGTTTTGATTTGTAAGGGAGGAAGAAAATCAATTTGAGAAAATCAAATTGAGAGGGTCCCTTGTTCACTGTTGTATGACATGAGATTGGTGAGTTCTGTTTATGAAGACATTTTCTTGGCTATATCCTTCATACCCTTTACATTGATAGACTGTCAAACCTGCTGACAGATGTCTCTTTTTAGTAATTCTTTTTATAGGCACAAACTTGTCAGTTGCTTATCCATTAAAATACTGATGCTAGACTATTTTAAGTCAGTTATGAAAAATGTCTAATCTGTCTTCACCTCCACAAAGCTAAACTACTTACAGGCTATTTTTTACAATGTTCTAGTCTTTTGTAAAAAAGAGCAATGCACTTTTCCCATCATTGTGGCAGATGTCAGCCCTGATATTCTGCTCCTGCTCTCTGCATAGATCTCCCACAATGTATAGGATGAGGACAGTGGGTTACAGTCAGCCCTGCAGTAAAACAGAGCACTTCTACTGACTTTACTGAAGTTACACTATCTTACAACAGGGCTCAGTTTTCCCTGTTTCTTTATCTTAAAAGACCAGACTTGAAAAATGTCTATTTCTGACCACTTGGGAAAACATTAAAACTCACTGTTTTAAATCACCCATCTTATGCTGCTAAAAATTCATTTCCTGTTTAAAAAAAAAAAGTTAATTGCAAGACAGGTTAGGATAAAACCTAGTGAGGAAGTTTCTGAAGTCTCCTCTCAGATTGCCCTCTTAACAGGAAAGGTTTATTCTTTTTTCCTTCAGAATATTTTTAGTGGTCAGCATAGCAGATATTTCTCTGCTAAGAGAGACATAGAGCTCTTCCTGCAGGAGACCAGGTGGTATCACTAAGGTGATATGTTTCTGAGGAGTTCACTGCATTGCACAATACTGACCAAGTGATGGATTGGCACTACTAAGGGGAATGCGCATAATGTCAGCATCTAGAAAGGATGATTAGGGAAAGGCAATGTGCTACTAGTGTGTTCCTCTCCCTCCACTGAATAATGGAGTTCAGAATGCACCCTGATGCTTGGAAAGGGAGCCTTATTAGTAAAACGAGAATTAAAAGCCTTCCAGTGTCCACACGCTCGAATATATGGGAGCATAGGTATTGACAAAGCCCAGTGCTTGGGTGTAACTGTGGAGTGTAACTGGAGTATCCATTTTGTAGACACTGGCACATATATCCCATGGTTGGTTTGGGTGCAATCCTCAATTATGCTCATATTCCCCAACTTGACAAAAGCTTTCAGAGTACTGTTTTGAATATAATTGTTGCTATTTTATTCCACAGCACTCTGCCTTTTCTCAACATCATTTATTCCAAAGTAGGTTTTAAATTAGAGAATCATTCACCTCTCTCTGCCTTTTGGATGGGAACCTCAGAGTCAGAACACAAGTTCCTGCAGCATTAGACAGACTTCCATTTGGAGACTCGGTCAGTTCTGGGGTCTTCCAGACCAATAGGCTGCCTGAGAAATTTACCAGTCTTTACTAGACAGTTTTGTCATAGTCTTTGTCCTAAGGAACTCATGTAAATTCACTTAAGACTAAGGGACTGACTTCTCCTCTCACACGTGTGAATCAGGAATAACTCCAGTGAATTCATGTCTGTAGAAGTGAGGAAAAATCAGACCCAAAGTATTAAAAAACAAACAAACCCAACATCCTTCATGACCGTAGATCTAAACGTAATCCATAGTTCAGAATAAAAGCTTGAGAAAGGAGAGGAATGTAAC